TGTCACCAAGTACGTCTCTAAATTTCTCGATCCCCACATCCACAGATTCACCGAAGTCCCGAAATCTCAAGTCTTGAGGATTCCAACCTTCTACATTTCCAAAATTGTCGACCCATGCAAATCTTTAGATCGTCGAAGAATCCTTAGAAATAAGGTGGTCTCTTCCCTGAATTTTCACATTTTTCCAGCGGAAACGAGATTTGTCGTCGACTGTACGTTCCGATCGCGATACGGTGCGACTCGTAGAATTATCGCAGCGTTGATAACGTTCTGCTTTACAGGATTATAAGAGTGAATGGATGACTGTTCGGGTCTTACGATTATCGGGCCGCGATATTACGTAGGAGTAATAATCTGCATGGAAATATTTAACCATTAGTTCGCTATTTTTATTCGAACGGGTTCTCTGAACTCCGCGACCTAATTGCATGCACTTGTAAACGAGGATACGTTTACTAAACGAGGATGGACATCGATCAAGAGAGGAACAAAGACGGATTTCGCCACCTCAGGTGTTAACGAGCGTTCCATCCTTCTTTTTCTCTTGCATGAACTGCTCGCTGTTCGTGCTAAACGTATTCTCGTACAATTGCTGTGCAATAATCTCGTTTTATTATTAATTACCCGGCTGTAATACTCGTGTTAAAAAATGCGATGGTAAAGATCGAACAGTCACGCGCGTAATCGCGGCTATTATTCCATCAATTACACGCCATGCAACGCAGAGTGTCAATAATTGAAGCACTTTACCTGAAATTAAGTTCATCCGCGTATCTGTCTCTCGACCCAAATTTACGTAACGAAGAACGCAGAAAAATTCCCGAAATTTTCATCGAGCGGAAAAAAAATAGAAACCGGAAAATAAACCGGTGTATCGATGCGTGGATACACGCATGCCAAGTTGGCTGTTACCGGTCGATTACGAACGTGGAACGACGCGTTACAAATCGCGAAATTAGCATTTCCCCCGCGGCTGTTTCCGATTTTCACGCTCGCCCCATGACACACCGGGTTTTGCAATTTCAGCGCGGAGCAACTCCGTTGCGGTAATCCGCAATGGCAGCCCGTGCGATATCGCAATTATGATGCTTCTGAATAAATTAGTGTAGCGTCATGCGCGGCTGTACGCCGCGTTTAACTCGATACTCGCGCTCTCTGTCACGTGTCCGACACTGCTAACTCGTTACCGATTCCCCACCGATACCCGCATCGATTCATTTTTACCGCTGTCCAACTTGCTCGTTTCCCAGTTTCGACACCGCCACGCGTTCGCTCGATTAACGATCTAATCACCGCTTCTTGCCCGATGCTCGCTTCATTGACCTCCATCGATGCGTAAGCTCGTTCCTATCTACCGACTGTTTTTTACCAACCATCGATCATTCGTAACACATCACTCAATAAGTCTCCGGTCTAACTAAGAAAAACAAATTTTTTTTTAGAAATTCCGCTTTAATCATCAAGATCCTTCCAGTGTGATACATTGATTCCAACGCTCCTCTAACTTTTCAATTCCCTTTATATTAAACGATTTGTCTTTGCTCCCAAAATAAGCTTCAGTTTCCGCAATCACTTCTTCATTTGAGCCAAATTTCTTTACCTGGAGCATCTTTTTCATATCTGCAAAGAGCCAGTAGTCGCTGGGGTCCAAATCTGGGGAGTACGGTGTGTGGGGAAACAATTGAAAACGTAATTCATTCAATTGAACCATCGTCTTCATCGACTTGTGACACGGCGCATTGCCTTCGCGAAACAGCAAACGCGGCACCCACTTTGAAAGCAATTTGCACGTGCCCAAATTTTCATGCAAAATTGTGAAGACACTACCTTCTGATATCTTCAAGGCATCAGCTATCTCACGCAACTTAAGTTTACGGCCCTTTAAAACTATTTTGTGGACATTTTTTATGTTTTCCGGAACGACTGCTGATTTTGGGCAATCAGAGCGTTCAACATCATCGGCGCTTGTATGACCAAGTTTAAATTCAGCATACCAGTCAATGATAGTTGATTTCCCTGGTGCAGAGTCCCTATAATGCTTATGAAGTCACTTTTTGACTTCAACAGTATTTTTTCCGATAAAAAAACAGTGTTTAATCAACACACGAAATTTCTTTCTATCCATTGTCTTCAAAATTACGACTCTGGGGGTACTAAAATGACTGTAACTTCTAAACTGTCGGTCAGAATACCCTGAAATTTTGACACGTACTGTTTGAAGGTTAGTATTATTCGAAAATAACGTAATTACGAAACTGGGGGTACTAAAATGACTGTAACTTCTAAACTGTCGGTCAGAATACCATGAAATTTTGACACGTACTGTCTGAAGGTTAGTATCATTCGAAAATAACGTGGGTCTGTCACCAGTGTCGCCATATATGTGTCAGACCGGGGACTTATTGAGTGACGTGTTATCTTCCCGCAAAGCATTTACGTTTGACAATTTCCCACGAATCAGCTTTAATTCGGAAAAGATATGAACAAACTTTTCGGCCGGAAATCTGAAATTTCTATTGACACGATCTACTTGTACGAACTCGATTGACAAGTCAGTGGACGCAAACCGGATGAAAATGTAAACCGAGCTTCACGCGATTCGCTGTCCTTTCCGCTCTGTTTTCCGTGCGAACGATTCGTTATTTTTCGACGGAATTCGCGGTGTAATCTGTACATGTTGCTCGTTCGTACAATTTTTTTTTTTTTATTTTCAACGAGTTTCCGAACGGGGACGCGAATGAAATTTGTCGTTCCGAGGGTAGGGGGGAAAAATCGAGCTACCAGCCGGCGAAATCTGCGCCGGTCGTTTACAGAAACGCCGCTAGTTTGCCGAGTGTTTTGCAGGTGAATTAAATTTGCGAACGCTTTGGAGCGCGAGCGTGTGCACGCGTCGACTCGTTACCCGAACGTTTCCGCGAAGAATTAAGGTTACGGTACCGAGCAAAGAGAACGTGATTCTGTTTCGAGGATCACTCCACGCGACCACGCAAACATTTCCCCTTACAGTTTACTGCAAATTACCTTCGTTCTTAAACCTCCTTTTTTCCGAACGAACCGTCTCTCTTTTATTTCCACGGAAAGGAAATTACGTTTTCTTATTAATTATTCTACAGCTTCCTGTTCGAGATCGTTTTAAGGATTTTCGTGCTGTTCGTGGTAATTTCGGAATAGGTAATGACAGAATGGAAGATGAGTTTCTTCGGAATTTTTTGGGAGATGAGATGACGTTGCATGGTTATTCGTACGGTTCTAAGGAAATTTTACAACGATATTAAATCACAGGATTTGCAGCTTGTGATCTGGGGGTATTAGGAATCGGATGTTGTACTGACATGTGCAAAGTGCAACTACATATCGTTCCCTGTTTTCGTGAATACCACAAGACAGCAACATTTAAAATTTCTAACTTTAAACCCTTCCTTTACCATTTATTTAACAGATGCGTCAGTCAAAACTAACTATTCAGGGCTATAACATTAAAACGAACAAAGAAAATTAAAATGTTATTGTTAAATTATCAATAAATTTAGCATATAGCGACATCTTACAGTATCAGAAATGATGTGTGATGTTAGTAACAGAATAATTGAATATTGTACTTCCGTCTTGTCGTTATGAAAATGTAAGCGTTCGTGATGTTTTATTTGAAGAAAAAGTAATCCCTGTTTAAATGGTTAATCTTTAAGTTAAAATGTTTGTTGTGTTCTTTATTAAATAATTTGTTCGTGTTCAAAAGTGTATTATTAGTTTTGTTATTTTCCATAATTCTGATTATTTAACAGTTACAACTATTTTATATTCAGGGATCCTTGATAATGTAACTCGTAGCCGGACCTAAATTTCAAGTTGAAGAGTATTCAAAGTTTGAGTAAGGTTTGCCACATTTTAGCTGTAAGTGCGTCACGAGTGAGACTCGTCAAAGTACGGGAAGGGGTTAAACGTTGCTGAGAATACGTGAACATTGTTGAAACCTTTCGAATCGTCGGGTACGATTAGCGGTTGACGTTCGATGTAAATTAATCAGTTTGCACTGCAATAGAATCGCTGATTGGCAAATCGTTACACGCCAAAGTCTTTAGAAGTTGTAAGCAGTTTACTGTGACTCGGAGAGACATCAAGTATCCAGGAAGCAATCGAGCATCCGCCGGTAGTCTGTTTGTAATTAGACTGCTTGCATCGGAGCAATTAGATTCTGCTCGATCGGTCGTTTTAGTTACTGACAGTAATCACTTCAGTTATCGTGGGAAGCGGTCGATACATTAAAACAGACTATGATCTACATATCTTCGGAATTAACGCTACTCGAAATGGCTACTCGAAATTCTTGTAGTTGGATTAAATACGCTCGTGCATATTTCACAGGACATGTATACAAAACATACAGAGAGTCAGAGATGACATTCACATCTACTTGATGCTTCCACCTATTAAAAACTGGTAACATAGGATGATACCTCGATACCAATTAATTTTGGGTTGATGCACTTTTCCTATTACAACAGCAGACAAGTCATTCAGCGCCTGTGTATAAACGTAGTTTAAGTGTATTCAGTCTGTATAAACATATAGAGATCTGATGTCTTATCGGATACGAGAAAGGCAAATTTTAATGACGACTAAGTACATTTTCCTGCAGATGTGCATTTTTATTCCAACACTTAATGCATCGATTTCAAGTTAAAGTAGCTAATAAGAACAATTTGAAAATTTTCACAAACAAACTCAAGTTTCTAACTGATTGATACGTTGTCCATTGTAACACAAAAAATTTCGTAAATCATATGGGTAACAAGTTCGTCAAAGTTTCCGAAACCGCCAAAAAAATGGCGAACACGGATTTTGTGCAGATTCGTGGTTTTCGGTGTGTTTTATTCGTTGTTCGGTAGACTAACGCATAAATTTCCGGCGGCCGACGAGGAACGAAAACAGCGAGTGGCGTGCTCGTTAAAAGGTCGAGAGTTTTCATAATTAACGAGACGGGAGAAGAGCCAGGTAATAACCTTCCGAAGCTCGCGGACGATGTCCAAATTCACGCGTAACAAACAACGCTTGTATCCGCGCGAAAGGATCCGTGCATGTCCGATAATAATTCATATCGCGTTGGCAGCTTTTATCATCCCCAGTGGCGTTCTCTAAGAGCGACAGCTGGAAGGAGCAGGGCTTGAATGCCGGGCAGCAGGGCAAACCGGGGATGCGAGCTTTTCTGGCCACCGTCGGACGAAAACAACCGTCTTCGAGCATTTTAAACGTCTCTGTCTTCTTTTCTCTTTTACGGAGCCCTCTGTCACCTCTCGACCCACCGTGCTTTTCTTTCTTTGCCGGCGAGCGCGGTTTTTCAACGCGGCTTTGTACTTCCTGTCACCTCGTAGGATTTGTTCTTGACGTTGGTAATTTTTCCTCTTGGTCCCTTTTGTTTTTATCCTTTCCTCTTGCGCCTGGCCAATGTTCGAATTTCTCTCGACGACGAGAAGCCCCGTGAAATTGCTCGAAACAATCTCCCTCGGAGCATCGAGAGGATATTTCTAGTTAACGGAAGCTGCGGACCGTTTTCCTTTGTCGTTCGCCGGAGGAAATATGTCCTGTGCATATTGAAGGAAAATTGAAAGAATGGCAAGCTTTGAGATGTGCAACGGGTTAGAAGTTACTTTGTAAGATTCTCGACAGCCGACTGTGCAGGAAACAATTGCGTTCGTTTCCTGGGAAATTCTTATTTACTTGTAATTACATAAAATGCATCTCAAAATCTTACAAATACCTGTATGTTTTTAAATAGCAAAATTCGAAAAGAAATTTCTAAATCCACATATCTCTAAGTTTTTAATTCTTCAAAGCCTAAACATGTTAGCCTTTAGAGTTCTTTTCCAAACCTTCGAATCTTCAAGTCTTCAAATATTCGAACAAGAATTTCTATATTCACAAATCTCTAAGTTCTTAATTCTTCAAACCAACTCATTCTAAACATGTTAAACTTTGAACCTCTTTTCCAAACCTTCAGACCTCTTAATCTTCAAGTCTCCAAATATTCGAACAAGAATTTCTGAAGCCACAAATCTCCTAAGATCTTAATTCTTCAAATCTCCACATCCCAAACCTTCAAATCTTCAAATCTCCGAATCACCGAATCTTCAAATCTCCAAATCCCTGATACCAAATCTTCAAATCTCCAAATCTCCGAATCTCCGAATCTCTGAATGTCCCAATCTCCGAAACTCCGAATCTCCAAATCTCCAAATCTCCAAATCTCCAAATCTCCAAATTTCCAAATTTCCAAATCTCCGAATCTTCAAATCTCCAAATCCCTGAATCTCCGAATCTCTGAATGTCCCAATCTCCGAATCTCCGAATCTCCAAATCTCCAAATCTCCAAATTTCCAAATTTCCAAATTTTCAAATCTCCGAATCTCCGAATATTCAAATCTCCAAATCCCTGAATCTCCGAATCTCTGAATGTCCCAATCTCCGAATCTCCGAATCTCCAAATCTCCAAATTTCCAAATTTCCAAATTTTCAAATCTCCGAACCTCCAAATCTCCAAATCTCCGAATCTCAAAATCTCCAAATCCCTAAATCTTCGAATCTCCGAATCTCCGAATCTCCAAATCTCCGAATCTCCAAATCCCACTCCCCAAACCTAACAAGTCCCAAATTCTCAAATTCCCATATCGATAAATATCGCACCTTAAACCCCATATCTCCCACGATACACGCTCGTAAATACAAACCATCTCCCCATAAAATAAAAAGCTAATTTCGCAGTAAATAACGGGTCGACTAGATAGGCGGGTCACGTTGCGCGAGTGAAATTGCTCTAATTTGTAAGAGCAGCATACGGCTGCTTAATAATAAACATGGTCTCGAGCAGCGTCATAAACACCCGAGATCTTCGTGGATACAATGTGGTCACGAGTAACTACGAACTCCGGAATATGGACTGGAAACAGTTTAATAAGAACTCGAGGCTAAAAAGTGGAAAGGGGGTTGGCTTTTGTTAAAAGCCGTTCAAGAACTGTACGCTGCAAGATTATTTTGGATGCTCTGTCGTGGCTTTATAAGGCGCGTGCTGTGAGGGATCAGCGCAACCGAGGCTGATATTAAACCTTCCTCTTTCGTGGATCTACCTTCGCGAAACATTAACCATAGAAATACCGTGTGTCGGAATGTTCTAGCTTCGTTTATTAAATTTTCAAACTATTCCGTACTTTGGCTTCCTTCGACACCGTGGATCATTTTTTAATTAACGATGCGAACTATTTCTGCATATACACTACCGTCCATAAGTATCCGGACACTTGGTTTCGTTACATAAAACATAGTTGAACTTTGCACGAAAGGTATTTAGGGTTATCATATCATTTGTAATAATTATTATTATCTTTTTCGAGGTGTCATAACGTAATAGAATTAATTTTTAAGTACAAATTATACAATGAAAGTGTGAAAGTAAAATTCATGTCCAGAAGTACAAAGTCCAAATTTGTGAATCTA